GACAGAGAAATTAACAACTATAGGTCACCGTACAGCCTTCAGCAATGAGCAAAGCCCACACCGCATAGTCAGCATTAAAGGCCCCGCAATGATAAATGTAAAACAATTCAAACGAGAAAACTAATGGCTTAATTCATGTACAAAATAATGAACGAAAAACAAATATGTTACACAGCAACAAACGACGACCACTGAATTACAGGCTCCTGAGTTGAGACAGGCACATAAATAATGTGGCGGGGTTAAACTAGTTTGAAGGCGCCAACCCTCCCATAACCTGACAGTCTGTAACGTATTATTTAAAAAGTCTGTAACGAACCCCCACCCCCTAAAACAAAAATCAGTCAAATATCTCACAAATATTTAAAAAATCAAATAGAATCAATGATTTTTTTTGTATAGAACTACACTTGTATTTATCATCACTATCACCATAATTAACGTGTCAACTTTTTGACGAGCTGTGTGTGTACATTTTCTAGAGCTTTCCTAAAACACTGTTAGTCTCATATCGAATACATCATTTACATAACAATTTACTTCTCCCTCGTCGTCTTTCGTCGTCTTTCTTTTTTTGGTCATGACGTTGTCCGTTTCCATTCAACTCATGATTTTTAATGTCCAATTTGGTATCTTTTGTTCTTGCGTTTGTTTGTACTGTAATCCTGTCACATAGTGTTGTCATTTTAGCGGTATTTTTAACATTGCCCTATAAGCGGGAGGTTTGGCTAGCCATACAACCAGGTTCAACCCACAATTTTTCTTAAAATGTCCCGTACCAAGTCAAAAATATGGCAGTTGTTATCAGACAGTCCGTTTCTATGTATTTTGGCGTTTGTTTTTGTTGTAGTTCAATGTTTCTGTTGTTTCGTTGATTTCCTCTTATAGTTGACGTGTTTCCCTCGGTTTTAGTTTTTTACCCGGATATGTTTTTGCTTAATCGAATCATGACTATTGAACATCGGTATACTACTGTTGCCTTTATTTATTGCTCCTTTGGTATTGCAATTATGTTCGGCGCCATTTCAATCAGTGATTAATCTCCTCATTTTAAACGTGAAAGCGGTTAGACGACCATTTATTTTATATTTTGATACTAAGTAAATGAATCAAATTTGCAACGGTATTTAATAAACCAGTCATGAGTCAAGAGTAATGCAAATTTTGAAATCAACTTCCGGAGGAAGATCGTAAGTTATTAGAACCTTGCTTCGTTTGCGATCTTCGATTCTCACTTTCTCAGTTTCTTGATGGGTATTTACAGTCAAGCTGAGACCTTGGCATACATTTTGTTTGACTAACAAGTTGTTATTGAAAATGTAATACGGAAGCCAACAAAGAACTCATTCTTGTACATTCATTCTTTTTTAAACGATAAAATTATATATGAAAGGGCTTCATTATATACATGGAAAAAAGTAGAAAAAACATCGCCATGGAAGATTTCATCCAGTACAAACATGCAACATCTGCAAATGATATGAAAAAACCATAGACGGTGCTAACAATTTATGTACGTTCTATTGTATAATTGTAGGACTCTAAAGTGCGATGGGGACGCTAAAGTGCGATGGTCACGCTAAAGTGCGATGGTATACGCTAAAGTGCGATGCCTCCATACGCTAAAGTCCGATGGTCCGCGAAAGTATAGACGTAAGAAACGTAGTTTGATTATGACGTTAACAGTCGTTTATACAAACTAAAAATGAACACGCCGGAAGATAAATTACTAATATTTGATTAACAACTGTTAAACCAAATGTCAATGACTTATTAATAATTGATTTAAACCTAACCGTGCTTTGACGTCTGAAGCAAATGTGTTGTTTTTTTTCGGTAGCTGGAAGAAGAACTTGTATCCTGCAGTCGACCATTTTACTATTTAGATACAAAATAGTATTCGCATAAATATCCTGTATCGTGCTTTTATTGGAAGCGAACGGATACATTTAAATCATTGTTTATGTTGCAGTTTACTTTGCGGTCCCCGTTAAAATATTGTCGCTTTAAAAAGTAACATCGGTAAAATAAAGGTACATGTTTGCATGCGTAAATTATAAATTGTCGGCTAAAATATTAGTTTGTACATTATAGGAAAATATAGCATGTATGTGTAGTCGCTACGAAAAAGGAGAAAACTCGGCGAATATCGCCTTTTTCTCTCATTTAGATTAAAGCTTAAACAAATAAATGTTACATATTCCGACAATAATCGAATTTTGTATTTGTAATTTACAATGATGACTGTAAGGGGAGGTGTTCCCATTAGTGATAGACTGTGTGAATGGCAAGCTACGCCAATTATCACAATATTTGATACGCCCGAATTGTTAAAAATTCACTTACAAGAAATATAGTATTTTGTGACACCTAAATTACCTGTTTAGCAATTATTACGTGGTCGGTCTTCTAAATTTAGAAACAATCACTTCAGCCTACCAGTAGATTATAATGCCTATCACATATGGTATACCTCTGAATACTAGATTTTGCAAAATGACTATTTTTACATCTTATGTTCTTAAACGTTTTTAAAGCCCTCGAACCTTACCCTATTGGTCCATCGCACTTTAGCTCGATATACCACCGTACTTTAGCAAACAAACAACCATCGCACTTTAGCGTGAGACACCATCGCACTTTAGCGTAGACCGTCGCACTTTAGCGTGACCATCGCACTTTAGAGTACCATCGCACTTTAGAGTCTTACATAATCTTATTAGATATACGATATAAATATACTACAAATGCTTTTTTCTTGGATATTTGGTCATCCCTGGGGTATTGCCTTTCGATATCTTTGTAATTGAACTTCAATATCAAGCTGAAAGTATTTGTTGATTATAGTAACACAATGTTTTCAATAAACCTCTCATCATTGGTCTCAACCGCAACAAACTAGTATACCAGTATACTTCCCAACAGGGGAAATAATTCGTATTTAATTGTAATTTTAAATTACAGATAGGGGCTTTTGGAAATGAGTTCCTGGAAAGTCAAATACACTTGTATCGTTCATCAACATGTTTGCGTTAACATGTATCCTTTTAATGTTGTTAAGTACATCAACATGTTTGCATTAACATGCATCACTATACTGTTATTAAGTACATAACCGTATTTGTATCATGTATCACTATACAGTTGTACAAAACTTTAACTTCTACTTGCAGAACATATAATCAATTATTAGAACGTTTTACTTAAAAACGATTACCTGAAAATAAGAATTATTGACTTTTCTATTTCACAATAATATTAAATGCGTTGCAGTTTTAGCCTAATCAATCTTTAAGTCGGATATTTAAAGGACATTCTACTTTCTTGCAGAACATATATTAGAACGTTTTACTTAAAAATGATTACATGAAATAAAAATGATTATTGACTTTTCTATTTCAAAACAGTTTTAGCACATTCTTTCATTAAATTGGACCATAGATGTAATACCCATCTATGATTGGACATTCAAAGGACATTGTACCTTCTTGTAGAACACATATTAGAACGTTCAATTTAAAAATGATAACCTGATAACCTAATATCCCAACAGTGGTATGCTATATAAATAAAACCTGATAACCTAATATCCCAACAGTGGTATGCTATATAAATAAAGAATAGCCACTGTATAACCCACACATATTCAACGATCACAAAAGGTTAACATCTGATTTATATTTTGTATTTTCTTCAAAACGGCTTAATTTTTAGGAAAATGGAAATCAGTATCTATGTCCAATGTGGAAGGTATAGAAACAGTTTTAGGTAAGTCCAGATTCTAATATTTCTTTCATATTAATTCTGTCAATGTCTTTGTTGATAATGGAATTTATATGTCATTTGATGTTGCTTTCATTTACATATTATTTATAAATCCTTGCAATGGAAAGATCTCTTTTGATTTCATGTAAAACAAAGTATATTATTCAATGTAACAAAGAACTTCAAATAAGGAAACGGATTCAATGCAGATTGTTTGATTCCATGTTTGACTTCTATTCCAGAAAATTTGTCAAATTTATTTGCAACAGCAATGTAAGGGCTATTTCGTTCGTTTTGGCTTTGTCAAATCCATGCAGGTGTTTTGTTAAACTCTATACAGTGTTTTCGTTCTGGTCGGTCATACTTCCCTTTCTCCACAATGATGCGTTGCATATGTCACTACTGTTTTGGAATTTGTGTTATGTGTCATAAATTATTGGTTATTTTTTTTTAGCAAATCATATATTAATAAAACAATCCTTAACTTGGCAGAGTTATCTTTTCATAAGCTAGATTTGCTTAACCTTGCTGTTAAAGTTTTAATATTTTGAAGTGATATAGAATCTTAATTTCTTCTTCTTTGAAATTTAAATTCTAACTCAATCATTTTGTCAATTGTAACGAAACAATAAATTAAACTTTACTTTAATTCACGTAATGGCTAGGCTATGTCGATTTAACAATCCCGGCAAACAAAATGTAGTGGTTGGCCTCAAAACACCGTGTCGATATTTCTACCAGGAAAAAAATTCTAGTCCAACTCCTTTAAATTTATTCAAACAAAATATTTCATTTTCAGTCAATATAATTTATTAGTGCAGGTGCACTGCCTAAACACTTACAGACAACTATAAGATTGAACACAATCGAAATAAAATGAACACAAAACAGAAAGTCTGTCAATTGAGATATAATATCCCTCTCCAGTAAGAAGTTTCCAAAATTGTATCCAGTAAAACTGGTTATAATCAGAGATAAATCAAGCAATATTATCAGATAAGCGCTTATCAATGATAGATTTATGAGAGAGTTAAAGTTTCAATAGTAATTTAAGAATCCTTGACACTGAATTATATAAAGATTGACAGCTTTGTGATGGGGAACGTAGAAATGGTGGATAATTTGGAATTCTTGTTTTAACATGTTTAAGTTATCCATACAGTTGTATTCATTTTTATTTATTATATTAATTATATGAAATATGTAATGAACTTTTAGGTTATACAGATGAAATGATTACCAGGTCCAAAGCATCCACCTGGACATTTGAATTCACGAAAAACGGAGATAAGTGGTTACAAATGAATCGACCAAAACACCCAGAACTACTAATACTGACGAAGAAGGGAAATAATTAGTTACAAAAAGCTCATCTGGAAAATGTCTAAAGGTAGTGAAAATTGAAGTTTCTGCTAATACTAGTAATATATCATATTTCTATCCAAGCTTAGTGAATTTTAAGTGGAAAGGATATTCACAAATATATATATCTGTATGAATTAAGAGATAACTGTATTGTATTTAAAGCTTTGCGGACGTCCATCGGTAGTTTTACTGTCGCAAATTTAGTTTACCTGGCAACGTGTAGCGGAGACAGGTAAACGGGTATTTGCGACAGTAAAACTACCGATGGACGTCCGCAAAGCTTCAAATACAATACAGTTATCTCTATTCTAATGCAAAACAAGTACATAATTCAATTTCAATCATTATTTCAGTGTAAAATTTTCATTAAAGAAAATTCCGCGAAAAGATGTTATCTTCTTTGGCCCCTAAACTAGGTGACGTCATAGGTTTGCTTCCGGCGTCAAACGTAAACACCGGGCGTTTTCTGGCTTCTTGACCGCTTCCGAATGTAATAAAATATGATAAAAAGAAGATTTCTAGGTGCAACATGTGAGTTTTTTGCTTATTTTTGTAGAAATTACATGTCAATTCATTCCGCAAATCAAAATGTCGGCTTCCTTAGTTACAGACAAGGAGATAGGGAATTTTACGCTTACTGTCATCCAAACAGAACCATTGATACAAAATAATTGCATTAGAATAATCCATCTTCAGTTAAGGAAACACATTTGTTTGCCGATTCGACATGTTTGGGAGCCTCATAATCGATTCCAAGTCATGTGAAACCAGAATCTACTGGTTTTGTGTTATGTTTAGATCATGAAGGGAAAAAGCCAAACACTGTGCCGACCCGGAGTAAAACATTTGTAATCGGGTTGGATGCCAAGTCTTCTTCTGATCGGTCAGGAATTTCAGATTTAATTTGGTTCTAGTTTACAGTTTTCTCGTTCCAACTTATCATTCTGAATATGCTAATAATTCCAACTGGAAGTTAAACAGATATTGATCAATCAATCAATTTTGCATTAAATGTGTTTCTTTCTCAGTAATGTTAACTATGAAAGTAAGAGTTTTTACTAGAATCACCTTAATATCGTAGTACATGTATAATCTCTTACTTTGACGAAACCGTTAAACCTTTACTATTTAAATGTACATAACAGATATTTAAAATTCGATAAAAAAAATTAATACAAATTGATAATGGAATCTCTTACATAATCTGTCGATGATTCAAATCAAACTTTAAGTAGTCTTACCTATGTGAATTCGTTTAGAAATGTATAAATTAAGAATAAATTTTTAAACACACTTGTATTTTTACAGACTGTAAGTTAACAACAAAGGAAGCCATTTGATTCGTGCAGGGAACTTCGAATATTGGAGGAAATAAAAACGACATGGAAATAAAATAATTAATAAGTAGTTTTATTTTTATAGAAAGTCTTAAACACTTTTTGTCGTGAACAAAATTCTTACTTCCCCCACAGAAAACAATAGGTTCGTACCTCAGTCCATTTTCTCTCCAAATGCTAAACGTGTCACTTTGTAAAATAAACTGTTAGTTGTTTCTTGTGTTTTAGATTACTTTCAAATTTGACTCGGATACAAAAATAACTGTAATGGAAAAATGGGAACAATTAACTGGATGGTAAAATGTGAAACTCGTACGAACAGTTGAAGGAAATAAAATGACAGCAGTGAGTATTCATCAAGAGAAATATGATATGTTTAATCTAAACCATCTGATTGGCAAACGATATTCATTCCTGACAAAAAAACGATTAAGACATTAGAGGACAACATTTTAGTTCTGGTATCTATGATGAGTTTATCTAGTATTGTCAATGTTAAAAAGGGGATTAAAACGTGGATTTGAAAAAAATCGATACACCAGAAAAAAAATTAAAAGAATAGTGAAAATCATGATTTTGATTTTGCTTACGTAACACATACATTAGCCTAATTTTGATGTTCTTCTTCATTTATATATATATTTTTTTGTTTTGTTAAAATATATTTTTTCACTTTTTGGTCTTTTGTAAAATGTTGTTTGTGCTGTATTTAGACCCCTCTAAAAAGAAATTTGTTTTGCATGCACACGACGTATAAAAATTGCGGTTTTTTTATCCAACACAATTATAAGGTCCGAGTACACAGTTATTTCGTAGTGCATTTCTTTTAGACAATAAATGGAAATTAAAAAAATCCCACCTGCGCTTTCTCAATAATATTTTTACAGTGTGTTGTACTACTTTTGGGACAAATTATATCAAAATTATAGAAAACTTCATCGGCTCTAACTCAAAATATGGACAATTTCATGCTAAGGGGGTCTTCAAATCTTTTGACAGCTTCCGATGTGCTAATTTTTAACATTTTTCAGCTGGACCAAATCACTACTTTACTTTAAAATTCATGACCCAAATTTTTTTACAGTGTCATTTCACCCCCCTACTTACTATTTGAGTCATAAAACATGGAGAAATAAATTCGGAAGGGGTATAAAAAAAATCGACAAGTAACACACTGTCCACACTAGGGACTATATTCGTGGACAACGAAAATCAAAGGACGATAACTGTGTACCCGGACCTAATAGGGTAGAAAAAGTTGACCAATCTTAATGAAACTTGGTATGACTAAAGCTTATTAAATTATAAGACTGCTTACAAAGTTTCATGGCAATAGGATATATATTATAGACAATATGACTAATTCTATATTGAACTTTGAGTGTTAAATTTAGACGTTAAAATTGAAAATTTTCAACTATCAACAATTGAGGCTTAAAAAATTAAAATATTGCAAAAAAATACTTTTGAAATGCCTTAATATATAATATATTATGTATTAAAAGCAATAGAGTACTCATTTGATTCATCAGACTTATCATAATTATTAAAAAGTCAAATTTATATGAGCCTGTGGCTAAAAATGGAGGTTTTCCAATGAAGGGGGGCCTTACATGAAGATGTAATATTTTCCAGCAATTTTAAATTTTTAAAGCTTTTTGGTTATAAATAATCCTTACATATGTATTTAATGTACTTTAAATGGAAAGAAAACTTACAAATAACATATCACATTAGCTTAAAAGGGTCTTAGGCCAAGTAAGACTGAAAATAATTTAGGGTCAATTTAGGCTGTATCACATATTTACATTTAAAAATGCATATTGAAGCTATATGAAATAAAATTTTGTGTCTTTTCTATCATTTCTATACTCAGGTGACATGATACAATAAATCTGAGCACAAAAAGACTCTTGCATTCAACTTTTTTTGCAGACAGTATGGTCTGATACAAAGATTTTTCACTTTTTAGTGAAAAACATGCATGCAATTTTAGTCTCAACAGGCTTATATTTGAACCACTTGCTATCCTACAGAAGAAAAGAAAGGTATTATGTGACATAAAACAGGTACAAAAGACATTGTTAAGTGCTTTTTATACAAATTTAGTGAGGTCTTTATAATGGACTTCAACTTTTATGTTCCAAGCGCCTCACATTTAACTTGATCCAAACAAGGCGTTAGACGAGGATCATATATACAACACATTTTGCGCATATTGTCTGAGATAATCTTCTTTTCTGTAGATTCAGAGTTCACAAATGAGTAATACAACTGGATTGAAACATAGAAACACAAATATTGACACATAAAAACCTGTCAGATAGAAAGTCAGAATGCCACTTATGCATCAAAATTGAAAAAGCTATGAAATGCTTATTTTGACCATAAAATGCCAAAATTGGTCATTTTTGCAGAAATTCTATCAAATAAAAGTTTAAATCCTTTAGTTTTATGCTATTTGATAAATTGACACCATCAAATATTTCAGGGAAGTTGCCAAAGTACAGATTCTATATTTCCTGATTTCACCTCTTAGGTCCGAGTACACAGTTATTTCGTAGTGCATTTCTTTTAGACAATAAATGGAAATTAAAAAAATCCCACCTGCGCTTTCTCAATAATATTTTTACAGTGTGTTGTACTACTTTTGGGACAAATTATATCAAAATTATAGAAAACTTCATCGGCTCTAACTCAAAATATGGACAATTTCATGCTAAGGGGGTCTTCAAATCTTTTGACAGCTTCCGATGTGCTAATTTTTAACATTTTTCAGCTGGACCAAATCACTACTTTACTTTAAAATTCATGACCCAAATTTTTTTACAGTGTCATTTCACCCCCCTACTTACTATTTGAGTCATAAAACATGGAGAAATAAATTCGGAAGGGGTATAAAAAAAATCGACAAGTAACACACTGTCCACACTAGGGACTATATTCGTGGACAACGAAAATCAAAGGACGATAACTGTGTACCCGGACCTAATAGGGTAGAAAAAGTTGACCAATCTTAATGAAACTTGGTATGACTAAAGCTTATTAAATTATAAGACTGCTTACAAAGTTTCATGGCAATAGGATATATATTATAGACAATATGACTAATTCTATATTGAACTTTGAGTGTTAAATTTAGACGTTAAAATTGAAAATTTTCAACTATCAACAATTGAGGCTTAAAAAATTAAAATATTGCAAAAAAATACTTTTGAAATGCCTTAATATATAATATATTATGTATTAAAAGCAATAGAGTACTCATTTGATTCATCAGACTTATCATAATTATTAAAAAGTCAAATTTATATGAGCCTGTGGCTAAAAATGGAGGTTTTCCAATGAAGGGGGGCCTTACATGAAGATGTAATATTTTCCAGCAATTTTAAATTTTTAAAGCTTTTTGGTTATAAATAATCCTTACATATGTATTTAATGTACTTTAAATGGAAAGAAAACTTACAAATAACATATCACATTAGCTTAAAAGGGTCTTAGGCCAAGTAAGACTGAAAATAATTTAGGGTCAATTTAGGCTGTATCACATATTTACATTTAAAAATGCATATTGAAGCTATATGAAATAAAATTTTGTGTCTTTTCTATCATTTCTATACTCAGGTGACATGATACAATAAATCTGAGCACAAAAAGACTCTTGCATTCAACTTTTTTTGCAGACAGTATGGTCTGATACAAAGATTTTTCACTTTTTAGTGAAAAACATGCATGCAATTTTAGTCTCAACAGGCTTATATTTGAACCACTTGCTATCCTACAGAAGAAAAGAAAGGTATTATGTGACATAAAACAGGTACAAAAGACATTGTTAAGTGCTTTTTATACAAATTTAGTGAGGTCTTTATAATGGACTTCAACTTTTATGTTCCAAGCGCCTCACATTTAACTTGATCCAAACAAGGCGTTAGACGAGGATCATATATACAACACATTTTGCGCATATTGTCTGAGATAATCTTCTTTTCTGTAGATTCAGAGTTCACAAATGAGTAATACAACTGGATTGAAACATAGAAACACAAATATTGACACATAAAAACCTGTCAGATAGAAAGTCAGAATGCCACTTATGCATCAAAATTGAAAAAGCTATGAAATGCTTATTTTGACCATAAAATGCCAAAATTGGTCATTTTTGCAGAAATTCTATCAAATAAAAGTTTAAATCCTTTAGTTTTATGCTATTTGATAAATTGACACCATCAAATATTTCAGGGAAGTTGCCAAAGTACAGATTCTATATTTCCTGATTTCACCTCTTAGGTCCGAGTACACAGTTATTTCGTAGTGCATTTCTTTTAGACAATAAATGGAAATTAAAAAAATCCCACCTGCGCTTTCTCAATAATATTTTTACAGTGTGTTGTACTACTTTTGGGACAAATTATATCAAAATTATAGAAAACTTCATCGGCTCTAACTCAAAATATGGACAATTTCATGCTAAGGGGGTCTTCAAATCTTTTGACAGCTTCCGATGTGCTAATTTTTAACATTTTTCAGCTGGACCAAATCACTACTTTACTTTAAAATTCATGACCCAAATTTTTTTACAGTGTCATTTCACCCCCCTACTTACTATTTGAGTCATAAAACATGGAGAAATAAATTCGGAAGGGGTATAAAAAAAATCGACAAGTAACACACTGTCCACACTAGGGACTATATTCGTGGACAACGAAAATCAAAGGACGATAACTGTGTACCCGGACCTAATAGGGTAGAAAAAGTTGACCAATCTTAATGAAACTTGGTATGACTAAAGCTTATTAAATTATAAGACTGCTTACAAAGTTTCATGGCAATAGGATATATATTATAGACAATATGACTAATTCTATATTGAACTTTGAGTGTTAAATTTAGACGTTAAAATTGAAAATTTTCAACTATCAACAATTGAGGCTTAAAAAATTAAAATATTGCAAAAAAATACTTTTGAAATGCCTTAATATATAATATATTATGTATTAAAAGCAATAGAGTACTCATTTGATTCATCAGACTTATCATAATTATTAAAAAGTCAAATTTATATGAGCCTGTGGCTAAAAATGGAGGTTTTCCAATGAAGGGGGGCCTTACATGAAGATGTAATATTTTCCAGCAATTTTAAATTTTTAAAGCTTTTTGGTTATAAATAATCCTTACATATGTATTTAATGTACTTTAAATGGAAAGAAAACTTACAAATAACATATCACATTAGCTTAAAAGGGTCTTAGGCCAAGTAAGACTGAAAATAATTTAGGGTCAATTTAGGCTGTATCACATATTTACATTTAAAAATGCATATTGAAGCTATATGAAATAAAATTTTG